CCAGGGAGATGGTCATCAGAAAGTAAGAAAAAATAGAAAAAAACAAATTTTTTCTAGTTGAGGGAAACTCTTTGAATAAAATAATAGAGTGAAAAGAGAGAGAATTATGGGAAACCTACATTAAATAGGGTGGTTTGAGCTGAGACCTAAGGATGAGAAGGATCTAATCAAAGGAAAAGACTTTCAGGTAGACAGGAAAGCAGTAAATGCTATGGCCCTGAGATGGAGTGACATGACATCTGTGTGTTTGAGGACTGACTGGCCTGTATGGCTGGACTGTGAGAATGGGATGGAGGGATGTCATGAAATTGACATGGTTGAAAGGGGGACAGGAGGCAGATCCTGCAGGATCTTGTGTACATTTTATTTGAAGTACAGTAGGAAGTTGAGCTTATACACAAGTGTCCTACCTCTTTCAAACCTCTTCATCTACTTTTTTATATCCTTATCTTCTGTTATTTCCCTTTTAATTATAGTCATGTACCATTGTGCAAAACTGTGAGCTCCCTGAGGGCAAGAATCCTACATATTGGAAGAATCCACATCTGCCTCACAAAGAGTTGCAATGACCCTGGGAGATGATGAATGTGAAGTTAGATGCATCTGATGGATGCTCAGTAAAGGTCAGTCAAAGTGAAATAAAGTAGAATTCCTTTTGTTTCCTTCCCTCTGCAGAACTGGGAAGCACGCCTGCTGCTGGAGAGGTCATGTGCTATTAAGTGCCCAGATATTGCCACCCAGCTGGCTGGGACCAAGAAGGTGCAGCAGGAGCTGAGCAGAATGGGAGTGCTGGAGATGTTGCTCCCTGGCCAGCCTGAGACTGTGGCCCGCCTCCGTGCCACCTTTGCTGGCCTCTACTCACTGGACATGGTGTGTGGGCATCCTCTTTCTCCCACCATAGCTCTTCTGGGTTGCAGGAACCCAGAACTCAATGTATTGGGGAGGCTGGATCTGGCAGTGGGCTGGACTTGGGTCGGTGATGCTCTGTGAGAACGCCTAGAGCCCTGGGGAAGGGGACTGGAATCCACTGTAAGCTCCCTCAGCAAAGGTGAAGATCCAGATGAGAGGTGGAAAGAGGAAGGAGCTGAGGAGGACAGCGGAATCGGGGAATATCTATATACGCTTTCCAGGCCTCCTACTACAGAGCCCTGAACTGTTGCCAGAGAAAGCTTATTCTCATTGTACTTGCTGCTTTAGGGGATTTGTTGGGGTCACATCCAGATAGTAGTATCTAGCCTGAAGGAGCTATCCCTCTTCTCCCTCCTATTATTCCTCTGATGTTGCTCTGCACAACCAGCAAGACCGCAGCTCCTCCCCCTGGTTTAAGACTGTTGGTAACTGCTTTCTTGCCTCCTGCCAGGGTGAAGAAGGGGACCAAGCCATTACTGAGGCCCTTGCTGCCCCTAGCCAGTTCGTGCTAAAGCCCCAGAGAGAGGGTGGAGGTAGGTGGTTCCGCCTTTGTAGGGCAGCTCAGTGGAAGGGAAGAGGGCTAGCAGGCTGTTACCAATGCTGACTGATGCTTGCTGTGGGCACAGTCCCAGGCTCTAGGGGACATAAGATGAACTGACACAGGCCTTCACCTTGGACAATGTCCCGGGAGACCCTGTGATCAAGTGCTATTGAGGAAAGAGGAACCTGATTAACCCAAACTGGAGGGTTTGAACAAGTTTAGTCTGTGGCTAGATTGTGGGGAAGTGAGATAGGGCATATCAAGAGGCTGAATATCTTCCTGCCTGGTTTGAACTTCTTGAGGGCAGGGATCATATCATGTCTGTTCACAGACCCAGAGGAAATGAGTTTTGATAGGTAGGGATAGGTAGGAGTTTACCAGGTGGAAAAGGAGGGAGAGTATTTCATACAGAAGAAGCAGTCTCCAGGAAAGGCATTGGTCCATGAAAGTGTGGTATATTTGGAGATTAATGAATCACTGGTAAGGCTGGAGTACAGCATGAGAGATGGGAGGGGGCAAGGATTTGGGCTGGAAAAGATGGTTTGGGACATGATTATAGAGAACATTAAAAATATGTAGGAAATTGGATTTTATCCTAAGGGTAGTGGGAATGCATTAGAGTTGTTAAGGAGGAAAGGGACACACAACTGATCCAGGATCCATGTTTCAGCCATGGTAAAGCATGTCCTGGATGAGGAGAGACACTGGCAAAGGACATCACAGAGGAGGCTGGTATAATTGTCCAAAAGAGCAATGTAGAGGCCTGAGCTAGGGCTATAACTTTGTAAGAGTAGAGACTGAAGAGACACGTCTGAGTTAGTGACAGGTAATGGAGAAGGAGGAGTTAAATATGCCTTTTACCAGATTGGGAGCAAGAAGATCTAGGAAGGGTAGGTTCAAGACAGAAGAAATGAGTTCTATTTGGACATGCTGAGTTTGTTTTGGGAGCCCATGGGATATCCATGTGATGTCTAGAACAGGGAGCTTAAGTTAAAGATTTGGGAGTTCCACAAGTCATAGAATATAGATGGACCCTTAGAAATCTCCCTAGGAAATAAGTGTTCATGGATGAGAGAACAGGGTGGTGGGTGGAATCCTTGGTAATCCGAACCTTTAAGAGGAGCAGGAGCCAGTTAGGGAGGCTGAGAAGGAAAGCCATAGACAAGTAGGAGAACCAAGGCCGGGTGGTGTGATGAAGGTGTGTTTGCTTATGTGAGAAAGGGCTCTCCTATTAAAGTGACATTCCCTCCTTGGGAGCCAGGCCTGCCCTGGCTCCATTGAGCTTGTGTCAGGAACTGAGGCTGCTGACTTGGCCACAGAAGTAGGGGCACAGAGAAGGTAGGCAGAGGGTTGAGGGTGACTGGCCAGTGCTATTACAGGTAATAACCTATACGGGGAGGAGATGGTGCGTGCCCTGGAGAGGCTGAAGGACAGTGAGGAGAGGGCCTCCTACATCCTCATGGAGAAGATCGAACCTGAGCCTTTTGGAAATTGTCTGCTACGGCCTGGCACCCCTGTCCGAGTGGTCCAGTGCATCTCAGAGCTGGGCATCTTTGGAGTCTATGTCAGGTGAGCCAGTCAAGAGGGTCTCCTCCTTGCCAATCAGCCAAGTGAGCCTGGGGGTAGAAGTGGACATGGAGCAAGAATCCTGGGCTTCAGTCCCAGCTCTGCCTGTCCCTAGACAGTTACCTGTTTTCTTATCTAGTAAATGAGGCCAAGGACCCAAAACCTGCCCCCACAGGGCTATCAAATGAAGCCCAGATGAGAAGTGCTTTGCAACTATAAAGGAAGGTCCAAGTAGTATCAAGATGGATGAGAAAGTAACCTTAGTCTAGACGGAGACCCCAGGGAAGAAGAGAATTTGGGTCCAGTTTCCAGGCCACCAGGGGTTCTGGAGAAAGGGGGATGGGCCAGGTAGAGGATAATCAGCTGGCTCTGAAAGGCTAAGTGGACCCTGGTTTGGATGTAAGCACTAAAGAAATAGGAAGAGAAGACCACTTGGGAATTTTTAAGGAATAGTTCCTGGTCCCTTAACCACTTCCTGCAAAATATGCAATTCAAGATCAAAGTAGGAATACCGGGTCCTACCATGCTCCTGACCAGAGCCTTCCCTTTAACCACTTACCATCATCCTTGCCTGCCATGTCCTCCCAAACCCAACTACCACCACAGCCATCTTGAGAGACAGGTAGAGAAGGAAACTTACAGCTACAGAACATGAAATGTGAGCCTGGCATCATGCTAAGTGCTTTTCCTGCTTTATTGAATCCTCGTGATCATCTTGCAAAGTGAGAGGTATTATCTCTATTTTAATTTGAGGAAATTGGTATTTAGAAAGACTGAATAACTTGCTCAAAAACACAGAGCTAATAATTTCCCAGCACAATGCAAATCCAAATCTGATTATAAAATCCTAGCACTTTTTTGGGTGTAGTCAGTCACTCATATACTGCTCAGGTGGGACCAAGGAAGGATTTGGCTCTGGGGGCTGAGTCTTGGTAATGGAGTTGTGTGTCTCCTGTCGCCCTTTCTATAGGCAGGGAAAGACTCTTGTGATGAACAAGCATGTGGGACATCTGCTTCGAACCAAAGCCATCGAGCATGCAGATGGTGGAGTGGCAGCAGGAGTGGCAGTCCTGGACAACCCATACCCTGTGTGAGGGCATAGCCAAGCCTTCCCAGAATTTGCTCAAGAGACCTTCTATCCCTCATACTTGTCATTCCTCACCTAGCCCTTCTGATGGTCTTCCCTCCCTACACCTTGGGAGGGCTGGTCTCTTCTGTTCAGGGAAGGGTAAATGCTGGGTCCCTTTCCCCAGCTCTCCCTCTGAGGACCAGAAAAGCTGTGTTTCCCTTAGGTGAGATCTATAGGCCCCTAAATCCTCAGAGTGTGGGTATAGCTGACAGGAAGCTGATTTGAGGTAAGGGTCCATAACCCTACCACCCACCCGCCTGTCAGCCCCTCATCAGCCTTTTCAGCAGATTCCAGTGTCTGACCTAGGATAGGACTGAGAGGTAGGAGAGGGGCAGTGAAGGGGCATAGCCTTTCCCCACCTCTGCCTTAAATAAAACAACATTGCTGATTCTGTGATTCCTTGGTTTATACATTTGAGGGGGGAGGAATTATAATCTGGGTTAGCACACTCAAAGTGGATTAGAACAGGGGAAGTGACTTGGTTATAATCAGACTCCCTAGCCCCAGACCCTAGGATAGAACCCTGAAGTTCCAGTCCTTAGTCACTCAGTAATGCTCCCATAGGATCATACAAAGAAAAGAGTCCCTGGCAGTAGCCCAGGAAAGAATGCAGCCATGATGGGACATCACAGGTGTGAACTGGCTTTAGTTGCTTTCCTGCTTAATTCAGGAGCTTGCCAAAGGGCCTATAAGTGAAGTCCTGCCTAGATGTCCCCAAACCAAAAGTTCTGGAAGGAGAATACTGGGGTATGCCTGAGGAAAACCACTCCCTTTCCCACCCCCCCACCCCCCTCCCAATAAGAACAGCTAGCAGGTACACAGTCTGTAAGCCACCTAAGAAAACAAATCACTACCTTCTTAAGGTCACAGACTTTATTCCTACAACCACGGAGCCTGAGCATGACTGGGGCCAAGAATAATTTCGTCTGAGAGTGTCTTTTATGGGCAGGACTGTTCATGGAAGGATGGGAACAGAGGACAAGGAAAACAAGCTCTTCTGGCCCTAGGAACAAAACGCATTTGCTCCAGCAAAGAAGCAGATAATCTGAAAACCCTCTGGAAACTAAGCTTGCCTACACAGCCCCTGAAGCAAATGGGCAGACAAGCACTGCCATCTGGCACAAAAGGGAATTCTGATCCGGAACAGAACCAGCAAAGTGTTTAAAAAAAATAATAATTATTCTGGGACTCAAACAGGCATTTCTAATGGCAAATGCATACCCAAGATAAGTAGTAGTGCTTCCTGAGAGAGCTGACAGGATTACAGAGCTGCCTCCCTGCTTCAGTTTAGGCCCTCACTTGCCCTCTGCATACTTAACTTGGATAAGGGACATGACCTTCAGGTCCTGTTCTGGGCTCCAAGGGCTCTTAAAGTCTAGGGGCTCAGCAAGCTGATGCTAACCTGGGCCATGTCCAATCTATCTGGCAACCACAGGAAGTTGCCTCCACACAGGTGCAAAGCAGGTCCTCAGTCCCAGACAGCTGTTCAGGGGTGGTGGTATGGGTCTGTACTGGCCCTCAGTACTCCTCAATGGGGAACAGGGAAGGTGGGGGAAACTGCAAAGCCGAGCAAGGGGAAGGCTGGGTGAAGGGCAGGGTCTTGTTTACTGGATGGTCAGGCAGCGGTGGTTGAAGAGCTGGGAGATGACAGTTGGGTCAGCCACAGTAGACGTGTCCCCCAGGTCGTGGTCATTCTGAGCAATCTTCCGAAGCACCCGCCTCATGATTTTCCCTAGGGGACCACAGCCTTCTGGTTATGTGGTGATACCACTGACCCACTCCAGCCCTGCCAGAATGGCTTCCATCCACACACACTCTGCCACCACTAGGCCTTGCCAATCCCAAACCCAATCACTTGAGGCCTTTGAACATACCTGAGCGGGTTTTAGGTAAGCCAGGTGCATTCTGGATATAATCCGGTGTGGCAATGGGGCCAATTTTTTCTCTAACTGTAACCAACAAATCATTAAGCATTTCTTCAGTATCATTAGCCAGATTCCCAAAACCAAGGCTTTGTTCCCCACCTATTTCCTCTTCAAGGCCCTGCCCACAGAATCATTCTTAGAGTCACTGCCTTTCTGTCTCTCTTTTTTTAAAGCAGGCTCCACACTCCATGCAGAGCCCAGCACAGGGCCCAACCAACATGGGGCCTGAACCTACAACTTCGAGATCAAGACCTAAGCTGAGATCAAGAATCGAACACTTAACTGACTAAGCCACCCAGGTGCCTGGTCTTTCTATCTTTTTAACACACTTCTTAATCTCATTTTATCTCAGTCTTCCTTCACGGAACTCCAACTCTAAGAATCCACCTGCTAGAGTTTAAATCCCACTTTATTAGCAGTATGGCCTTGAGCAAGTGATTTAACTTCTCTGAGCCTCAATTTCTTCATCTTTAGGATGAGGGTAAAAATAGGATCTATTTCACAGTGGTGATTATAGGGATAGAATGGATTAATGCATTTAAAGCAATTAGCCCAGTGGTGGCAAAGAGAATTTTGTAAATGTTGGCAATTATCATCCTAGTGGAGAGACTAGAGGAGACTGAATGGGAAGGTGGCAATCAGCCCCTAAGGCCCCCTTGGATCTGTTTGTAGTTTGGAGAGCAGCTTGCTCTAGCCTCCCTCAGCAACTTGCTGTGGTAACCGGGCCATCAGAACAGTCCCTCCAGTCCCTGCTTAGGGAGGCTCCTCACTCTGCTTCTTGAGCTCCTCGATGAGGGTGGGGCTGAAGGTGTAGCCATCACACAGGGTGACAAAGCAGTAGAGGCATTCGCCCTTCACAGGATGAGGATGGCCGACCACAGCTGCCTCTGCAATAGCTTCATGTTCCACAAGTGCTGACTCCACCTCTGCTGTGCTTAGCAGATGTCCTTGACAAGGGAAAGAAAGTGCCATGAGAGAGATCCCAGCCTCAACTCTGCCCCTCTTCCATCTGTGCCTACAGGGCAGTCCTGGTCTGGTCAAATGGGGAAGCGCCTTCATTCACTTCTCACATGATCTGCTTCGGTTGTCTCACCATCCTGCTTCCCCTCCTCTAGGCACATTCCAGTGTTTATAACTCTTCCTCCAAAACCTCTACCCAGAACTGAATGCTGCACTGCAAGTATGGTTTGCCCAAGGACATCCTGGTTCTCTTGGAAGGCTTTGGCTGGGAATTGCTAGGGGAGTAGTACTAATGAGAAGGGAAAACAGTCCCTGGCCCTCACCAGATACATTCAGCATGTCATCAATCCTTCCAGTGATCCAGTAATAGCCATCCTGGTCCCGCCGGCAGCCTCAAAAGAGAAGAAATGCATAACATAATAAATACCTCACAGTAGGGTACACGATCCATATTACCAAACTGCTACACTCACTGCAGTAGCCTCCTAACAATCTTCCTGCTTCTGTACCATGGTAGCCAGCCTCCAAGATAGCCACCTGATTTCCACCTTCTGATACTCAGACTCCTGTGTAGTCCTCTTCCTCATTGTACTTGGGTTAGTCTGCATGATCAACAGAATTTGGCAGAAGTAATGGGATGTCGTTTCTGAGATTAGATTATAGAAGACACTGGCTTCTATGTTGGTGGCATTCTCTCAGACTATATGCTCTGGGGGGAGTCAGCTGCCATGTCATGAGTAGCCCTTATGGTAAGGAACTGAGGGCTGCTGTCAACAGCTACATGAGTGAGCTTGGCAATAGGTCCCCCAGGATCAATCAGACCTTCAAATGACTGAAGCCCCAACCAACAGCTTCACTGCGACCCATGAGAGGCTCTCAATGAGAACTACTGGCACAGCCACTCACAAATTGCTGATCCTCAGAAACTGTGTGAGTTAATATTTGTCATTTTAAGCCACAAAGTTTGGGGGTAATTTGTTCCATGGCAATAGATAACTAATATACCCACCTAAAGTCTGTTCTCCATAAACCAAAGTTATTTTCTAAACAATAAATTAGTTCTTATCACTTGTATGCTTAACAACCTGTGTAGGTATCCCCCATTGTACATATTTGGATTTTGGATAAAATCCAAAGTCCTCACCATGGCCCATAAAGCCCTACATTATCTACCTCTCCAACTTCATGTAACATTCTTCCCTTTGCTCATTATACTTCAGCCACACAGGCTTTGGTCTGTTCCTCAGACATTTGAAGCTTATGTCTCTGCACAGAACACTCACTCTTACTCCAGAATTTTCCCATGCCTGGCTGCCTTCTCATCCTGCAGGTCTCTGGACAAATATCACTTCAGAGAAGCCTTCTCTCACCATCCCATGTATGGTTGCCATTCCTGCAGACATCCTTTATCCTATTACCCTGTTTATTTTTCTTCATAGCACTTGTCACTAAGATAAGCTTATTTACTCGTTTGCTGTATTTACTGTCTATCTCCCCTTGCTAGAATATAAGCCCCCTGTGAACAGATGCCTTGCCTACCTTATTCATGGTAATATCCCCTGTGCTTAGATCAGTGCCTAGACTTAGTAGGTACTTAATATAATAGTTATGGATGAATGGATTGGTGAATTGAGTCATGGCCAAACACAGGCTCCAGACATGAGAATGCACATGATATAGTAATACACGCTGCCACATGCCCCATCTCTTTTAGCATAGGAACAATGGAAACAAGAACCTCTTTCCTCATATACCAAGTCAGATGGCTCCATGCTGAGACCTTCCATGCAACACTCATACCTGCTCTTATAGTTGTCTGTACAGCTCTGCCTGGATATTAGGCACTGATACATAGAATACGTTCCTCTCTCTGTTACTCTTCACCCCTAACTACTCTTCCTGAAGATGGAAGGGTAAGATATATGTCTTGGTGGGAAGTGTGGGAAAGGGATAGCCAAGGCTCACCATCTCCTGTCACGTAGTACCCAGGGAACTTCTTAAAGTAGGTGGCCTCAAAGCGTTCATGGTTCCCATAGACTGTGCGCATGATTCCTGGCCAGGGCTGCTTGAACACCTAGGGAGTGAGAAAGGCACAGTGGTCACATCTGCTACACCGTCTCACTGGAAGACAATCATAGTGGATTGCCAAACATGAGGAGAAATGGCCTGAATGCCCTTCCTGAGAAGTAGAACACAGTACAGGCTTTGGAGATAGACAATCCAGGCTTAGAATCCCGGATCTGCCATTTACTAACTGTGCAACCTCAGGTTAGTAACTTTACCTCTCTGAGCTTCAGGATCCTCTTCTGTAAATCAGAGAAAATAATCTCAACCTCCCAAAGTAACTGTGAGCATTGAATTTATGATATACAGAAGCTGTCTAATTCAGTGTTCTATTAGTGATAAGCATTTAGTAAATTTGAGTCTCCTCAGGAAACCAGATCTAGTTTGATACAAGTGAAGATAGTCATATAAAAGTGAATAAATAATTATTGCCCCAATCAATAATATCCTGTGGTAGTAGATTGAGATAGATGAGTTTCCAGGCTAAGAGTCAAAAGGCCTGGATTTATATCCTGCCCTTGTAACTAACTTGCTCTTAATAAAGTAGGATGGGGGCGCCTGGGTGGCTTAGTCGGTTGAGCGTCCGACTTTGCTTGGGTCATGATCTCACGGATCGTGGGTTCTAGCCCCGCGTCAGGCTGTGTGCTGACTGCCAGTTCAGAGCTTGGAGCCTGTTTCAGTCTGTGACTCCCTCTCTCTCTGACCCTCCCCTGCTCACGCTGTCTCTCTCTCTCTCCTAAAAATAAATAAAACATTTAAAAAAATAAAATAAAATAAAGTAGGCTGGAGGGTGGGGACAGATTATCTTCCTATAAGTACTAATATAAAAATCATAACATCTAACATTTGTTAAACACTAACTTAGGCTCTGTGCTAAATCCTTCACATGGGTTAGCTAATCAATCCAGAAACTTTAAGAGACAAAGGTATTATATAACCCTATATTACAAATGAGGAAATTTAGGTTCAGAGGTGCTAGGCAACTTATCTGGAGGTCCCAGAAGAGGCAGAGTCAGGATCTGAACCCAAGCAGGTTGACTCTGGAGTCTATATGATTTCCCATTATGTTATGAAGACTCCTTTCACACTAGAATATTTGTCAAAGGAAGAGTTGGGACTAAGTTTTCTGGACCCAAAAGGCATCATCAGGAATCTTTGAGCAGAGCCCTTAAGAGCCAAAGTGAGCCAAAAGGCAGAGAGGCAGGCAAAGTACCCAGAAGGATTTCCTTCACAGTCTTTCTGCAGAGGATAAACTCTCAATCATGGAGCTTTACCCACAAGCACCCACCAAGAGAGATTAGGTTCTAAACTCTGAAGCAAAGTATAGCATTCCTTGCTGTACTCTTTCCCCCCAACTCCTAAGACATCCAACAGTCAGGGCCTTACCAGGTAACCTTCAGCTTCACCTTCCAACTCTTCCCCAGACTCATTCAAGATTGCAGGAGATACACCAAAGAATGGGAAGGTCTAGAAGCAAACAGGAGACAGGACTCAAGAACAGGAAAGTGGCAACTCTGACTCAACTCTCTACCTCTCCCAAGGATCCCCAGAGCCCCAGATTTCCTCACACATATCAGTCTAGTTCCCCACCCTCTGCCTAAGCTAAATGCCCCAAGACTCTACTTCTGCCTAGCCCAGGACTAGGCAAGGGAGCCACACTCACAGCAGAACCAGGCTTCATTGGTGTGGCACCAGGAAGAGGGGTCAGCATATGGCCACCCTGTGGAAGTCAGAGATCAAGGGTTTGGGTCAGTTTTCCCGCACTGTCCCTGAGCCCCAGCCCTCTGAATCCTTTACTCACTGTCTCTGTCTGCCAGAAGGTGTCCACGATGGAACAGCGCTGGGCACCTACCACCCGGTGGTACCACAGCCAGGCCTCAGGGTTAATGGGTTCACCCACTGTGCCTAGCACCTGTAAGGATGCCCGGCTATGCCTTGGGCAGAGGAATGGAGAGAGAGGAAGGTTTTGAGTACCACTGGGAACCAGGAAGATATGCCTAGGCTCTTCTGCCCCCTCTCCTATTCTAAGGCCAAGGAGTTGGAACAATGGAATGGAAAAGACCATACACAAAGGCCAGCACCTAGCTCTGAGGAACACTCATGGGGCAGTAGCCAGGAAGGGGGTCTCACCTGGTGACAGGCTCATCTCCAAACTTCATGAGCAGTCGGATGGCCGTGGGTGCTGTATAGAACTTGGTCACCTTGTACTTGTCCACGATGCTCCACAGGCGGCTCACATCCGGGTATGTGGGAATCCCCTCAAACTGACCCCAGTGAAGGCTGGTCATTCCCAGTCCTTCCCAACAGTCCCTCAATTCCCCTACCAAACCCTCAGACTCAGTATTTTGCCCTTTCTGATAAACCCATGTCTTCACTCCCTTACCAGAAAAGCCAAGAGAACTTCCTAGTCAGTATATATGTAACTCCCTCAGAACTCCTCTTTCTCCAGGAAACAGGTCATTGTTTAAGTCCCCCTGTCCCTAGACCAAGTGACCTTGGGAGACTGTCATCTAGGATCATCTTGTCCATCCCCTAAGTAGGCCAAGTGGCCATGAGTCCCAGATCCCTTCTCACCAAAACACTGGTGGCACCATTGGCCAGTGGCCCATAGGTGACATAGGAATGGCCAGTGATCCAGCCGATGTCCGCTGTGCACCAGAACACATCCTCTGGGTGGAAGTCAAACACGTACTTGAAGGTTGTAGCCACATAGAGCATGTAGCCCCCAACAGTGTGTACCACACCCTGGAAGAAGAATAGGGCCTCAGGCTGGGGCCTTGGGCTCACCTCCACAGACCAACAAACATAGGCTGGACAGAGCTAGAGGAAGATCCTCCTCAGGGATTCTAGCCCTGCCAGCACCCCTTTCATAGCATCTATCTCTTCTATCCCTTTCCCTCCATGTTCCCATCTCACACTCCATACACATGCATAGTCAGTCTGTCATTCATATCCACACCCTAAAATAATATTTCTGAGCCACCACTTTTACACACATGAACACTTCTAGAACACTCACATCTAACAGTGTCTTTGTTTCATATTTATGCACAGAGTCAATTATATATTGACAGAGAGTGGGAAAAGAAGGTAATCTTCTTTGCTTACTCCACCAGTACCCCATCCCTAGAAAAAAGAGGCCAAAATTGTGCTTATAAAGCTCCACTGAGAGAGATTCAAGCATGTAGAGAGAATTTAGGGATGGGATGAGTGGAAGGTAGGATGATAAATCTTTTAAGTAGATGGAAGAGTCAGATTTGTTTCTGGCTCCTACACTGTGCCCTGGGAAGGACTAGATGTTAATAGTGTGACTTGTGGAAGGAAATGAACTCTAGGAGATATTGTCTAGGAGTCCAGTAAGAATACCTGGCTTTGGGTTCACATCAAAGCTCTCCTTCAATCAAACCACAGGGAATGGACAAGGAACAGTGAAGCCAGATAAACTGATTCTTTTCTCCTTTCCTGAGCACTCATGAAAGCCCCCACCTGAACTATCTCACCCTGGGCTCAACATCTAATGAATGAGGATTTATGTCTTTTTAAAATTAATTTAATTTTTTAATTAAAAATTTTTTTAGAGAGAGGGAACACAAGTAGGGGAGTGGGGCAGAGGGAGAGAAAGAGAGAAAATCTTAAGCAGTCTCATGCTCAGCGCAGTCTGATGTGGGTTCAATCCCACAACCCCGGGATCATGACCTGAGGCAAAATCAAGAGTTGGATGCTCAGGCGCCTGGGTGGCGCAGATGGTTAAGCACCAGACTTTGGCTCAGGTCGTGCTCTCGCGGTTCGTGATTTGAGCCCTACATTGGGCTCTGTGTGGGCAGTTCAGAACCTGGAGCCATCCTCAGATTCTGTGTCTCCCTCTCTCTCACACTCTGTGTGAGCCCCTTCCCTGCTCACACTCTGTCTCTGTCTCAAAAATAAATAAAGCATTAAAATTTTTTTTTAAAAAAGTTAGATGCTTAACTGACTGAGGCACCCAGTGTCCCCAAGGATTTATGTCTTAATTTGATTTAGAGAAGCTAATGTGACAGTTCTCAAACTCAGGATTAGAGAGTAAAATCTGTATCATCATGCTTCCTCAGAAACTCACTTCTCACCACTACACAACACACACAGAGCACACACACACACACACACACACACACACACACACACACACACATATACTTGCTTTGGGTTTGCCTGTGGAGCCACTGGTGTACAGGATGAAGAGTGGGTCCTCAGCATCACACCATTCAGGCTCACACTCATCCTCTGCCTTTTGCATGAGTTCATGCCACCACAAGTCAATCTCTTGGTTCCAGGAGATCTGCAAGGGTAGGAATAGAGGAATGGGCAGGGAAGAACTGTAAATAGCTCAAGATAGGAGCAGAAACACACCTACCTGGCACCTGGGGTTGGGATGGTCATCTCAGGTAGGGGTGCTGGGAGGGAGGGAACTGTGAGGGTGGAATGCAACAGAAAACAGGAGCAGAGCAGCAGGCTTTTTGGGTATTCTTAGCACCCTACTGAGAGCTCCCCTTATGTGGCATCAGGTTGAGGAGGCCACCCTGGTTGGTCCCTTCTCATCCTTCAGTTCTTAGCTTAAATGTCACCTTCATAGAAGGGTTTTCCCTAAACAGTAGCTGGTAGTTTCCCAATCCCATCCTCACCCTTGTTATTATTCTTGATCACAACACCATTATTTCCTTCCTATACAGAACATATTTTCAGTTATTTTTTTTTGTTGTTTGCTTGATTATTGTCTTCCCAACCAAATAGTGAACTCTGAGTACAGTGGCATGTTTGACTTTTTCTTTCCTTTTTTTTTTCTTTATCCCCAAAACTGAGCAAAATGCCTGGCACTCAATACACACTCTAAAATTTTTTTTGGATGAAGAATACACACACACAGGCCTACACACAAACATATGTACCTATGGAACTAGTGGCTTATCAGCAGGGATGCAGACACCACCCAATTCAGAAATGCACAATTAGTTAGAGCCTGCAGATGAAGCGGGCACCTGCCCCTGTTAGTATTGAAGAGTCAACAGCTTTTGCTCCAAACGCCTTTTCCTGAATGCCTAGAACTCATCCACATCTGCAGATTTGTACCCTAGCTCCACCCCTACCTTTATACCACTGGTACCAAAGGTTTCCCACAGACATATTTGTTTGAGGTTCCATTCAGCAGAAAATCTGCTTTAAGTTGGTGTGAAAAGGACCAACATCGACTTCTCCAGTAGAGGGGTGTCCCCCTATACTGGAATGTCTTTGATAACTACTTCTAAATTTGTTATCCTGAAATTTTTCTAGCCTCTTCTTGAAACTATTTAACTTTCCTAGTTATGTCAGCTCTCTGAACAGCCACTTTTCTTAGTCTACTCTGTGTTAAGGGAAGTTGGGATTCCCTAAACTTGTCCAAAAAGTGCACTGGATCTCAATTCTGGTTGCCACTTCCTAACTACATATGACTTTGGACAAGTCACTTTACCTAACGTCACTTATTTTTAAAATGAGGATAGTTCTGGGGTGCCTGGGTAGCTCAGCCTGTTAAGTATCCGACTTCGGCTCCGGTCATGATCTCACAGTTCATGGGTTCAAGCCCCACATCGGGCTCTGTGCTGACAGCTCAGAGCCTGGACACTATTTTGGATTTTGTGTCCTCCTCTCTCTCTGCCCCTTCCTAGCTCTCTCTCTCTCTCTCTCTCTAAAATAAATAAACATTAAAAAATGTTTAATAAATAAAATGAGGATAGTTCTTCTTTCCTTAACAGTCTCACAGGATTTGGTGAACATCAAAAGAAAATGGCAAAACATCAAGCCTTGAATTGTCCTTTGGAGTGGGAAAGACTGATGAATGTCAGGAAGGATAGAAGTTAGTTCAGTTCCATTGAACTCCTTCAGGACATAAACGTAAGGGTGTGATAATGAGAACTGTTTTGGGTTTGCTTTAGCCATCACAAAGTCCTTTCATATTAATAAGCTTCTTGTATGTTCAATGGCCCTGGTTGGCAGGGAGACATGATAATGTAAGAGAAACACCCTACTCCCTATTCCCATTATATGGCCATATGCCAATTTACTATGTACATATTTCGTTTAAAAACCCCAAAGTGTTAAACACATACCTTGATAAATTATAAATGATTCTCCAGCCACTCTCCTCTTTCTGTACATTCTGCCCCTTACTTTAGAGAATCTGAAGTTTCTGGCACATAAACATCATAAGAATAACAAGTCCAGGCTGAGTAAGTCACCATTAAAAAAAAAAAAAAAAGAAGAAGAAGAAGAGAAGGGCGCTTGGGTGGCTCAATCAGCTAAGCGTCCAACTTTGGCTCCAGTCATGATCTCACGGTCTGTGGGTTCGAGCCCCACACCAGGCTCTGTGCTGACAGCCAGCTCAGAGCCTGGAGCCTGTTTCAGAGTCTGTGTCTACCTCTCTCTCTGACCCTCCCCTGCTCATGCTGTCTCTCTTTCTCTCAGAAATAAATAAAACATTTAAAAAAAAAAAAACTTTAAAAAAAAGAAAGAAGAGAAAGACACTGCCCATAACCCAGAAAACACTAAAACACACCTTACTTTTTAGTGGAATAGCCACATGGGCCTACACACACTATCACATGGGCACTTTTTTCTGCCAAGTGATCTACTTGAGATGAGGGCATTAATGTATGTAAGCAAAAGAGTGTCAGTATTGTTTTGGGCAAATGGCACTTGTCTACAGTACAGCTAGAAAAGGCACTAGGTACATGTAAGGACAAAGCATAGTTACACTATGGCAATGAGGGGATTCTTGTAATCTTGCAAAACAGTTTCTTTTGTGGGTCTGTGGGTGAAAAGGGCCAGTACCCCAGGTGTGGAACCGATAAACAGCACCAGGAAGCAGAGTGAGCTCAGTTAGTGGTGCAACCATTGGTTGTGAATTGGGTGTGTGCCTATGAGGGCCCAGAGCTTTGAACCAGGAAAAGATTTCAATTTTCTGAAGTAAGAATTGAATTGGCCTTTGTCCTTGGACCAGGATAGGCTCAGGGAAGGCAATTGCCAAGTGTGGGAGAAGAATGTGAGGAAGCTCATAGGTGACATGATTGAAAAGAGTACCTCCAAATTGTGCCAGGGGCTCCCTTGAAGAATGCTTAAGGATGATGGGGTATACAGCTCTCCCAAGATTTCCGCAGCTCTGACTGTCATTATCAGACCAACAGATGTGGATTTTGTAAGCCTTATTCTTATGGTCTTTGGTTTTTGGATAACTGATTATTTTCACTTCCAAGAAACAAAAGTCCAGGAGCCTGTGGCCTAAAGGTCTCTGATATTAAGAATTATAGGAGCTTAGGGGCGCCTGGGTAGCTCAGTCGGTTAAACATCTGACTTCGGCTCAGGTCATGATCTCACGGTTCGTGGGTTCGAGCCCCTCGTCAGGCTCTGTGCTGACAGCTAGCTCAGAGCCTGGAGCCTGTTTCAGATTCTGTGTCTCCCTCTCTCTCTCACCCTCCCCTGTTCATGCTGTCTCTCTCTCTCCCTCAGAAATAAATAAAACATTTAAAAATTTAAAAAAAAAGAATTATAGGAGCTTCTTTCTTTTCTGGTTTCCCTTTTAGAAATGCCAGGCTGTCTGCTATGTTAAAAGCAATAAAAGCTATGGGGTGCCTGGGTGGCTCAGTTGGTTAAGTGGCTGATTTTGGCTCAGGTTTATCTCATAGTCTGTGGGTTCAAGCTCCACATTGGGCTCTGTGCTGACAGTTCAAAGCCTAGAGCCTGGTTCAGATTCTATATCTCCCTCTCTCTCTGCCCCTCCCCTGCTCACTCTCTGCCTCTCTCTCTCTCTCTCAAAAATAAACATTTTTTAAAAAGCAATAAAAGCTAACATTCATAGTTACCATGTGCCAAAAACATTATATATACTGACAAAAGCCTATCAGGAAGTTACCATTATCATTATTCTACAGATGGAGAAACTGTGGCAAGAGAGCTTAAGTACTTTGTCCAAGTTTCCACAGTAGCAAGTGACAGAGCTAGAATTTGAACCCAAGTAGTGTGGCTCCAGAATCTATACTCTAACCACTGAGTTTATTACCCTCTTTCATGAGAAATGTCTTAGGTCTCTGTCTTTTAAAAGGAAAGTAAAATACCCTGGGAATCAGATCTATCTCCACCATGCTATGAGAACAGAGAAAATAGATTATATTTACCATTAGCCAAAGAGGTTAATCATAGAAGATTTTTTTTTTTTTTTTTTTTTTTTTTTTTTTTTTTTTTTTTTTTTTTTTTTTTTTCTAGGAGAGAGAATCAGCGTGAGCAGGGGAGGGTCAGAGAGAGAGGGAGTCACAGACTGAAACAGGCTCCAGGCTCTGAGCTGGCAGTCAGCACAGAGCCCGACGCGGGGCTCGAACCCACGAACCGCGAGATCATGACCTAAGCGAAAGTCGGAAAGTCGGACGCTTAACCGACTAAGCCACCCAGGCGCCCCATTCATAGAAGATTTAGAGTAAGACACCCTATGAGGAAGGTAAAATTCAGAGGATAATGGGTTTTATGTTTTGTTTTAATAAAGGAAGCGGTTTCCTTTTAAGCATGTATTATCATCTTTCGATTATTGATAAGGGAACTGAAACCCAGAGAGGAGAAGCAACTTATTCAAGGTCATACAGCTAAAAATCAATCTCTGCGGGCACCTGTGTGGTTCAGTTGGTTAAACATTGGACTTCAGCTCAGGTCATGATCTCATGGTTCATGGGTTTGAGCTGTGCATCAGGCTCTGCACTGTCAGTATGGAACCCGCTTGGAATTCTCTCCTTCCCTCTCCCTCTCTCTCTACCCTTCTCCTACTTGCACTTTCTTACTCTCTCTCAAAATAAATAAATAGACTTTATTTTTTAAAAAAATCAATCTATGGACTCCAAGTCCAGTCTTCCCTCTATTCTAATCTGCTTTGAGCCCCCATTTAGGAATCTCCCTTCTTAGAACTGCCTACAATGTGATTTGTATTCACTCTAGCACTTAATTACATCAGAGAGTTTACGTGCAATTTATAAATCCTAAAGTAATATATAAATGCATCTAGGAATTTTCTTCTCTGTTGTCCTATATAAAACTGAGGTTTTCATTTGTAATACATGTCAACTCCCCCACTTGGTGGTAAATTCCTAAGGTCAAGTTCTGTGCCTCCTCTACTTGCTCTCCTCCTGTCTCCCAGGGCTCTTGCCCCAGCTAAGTACATAGTAAAAACTTTCTGACAAGTTACTTGGTCGTCTCTCCCACAAAAGTCCTGAGTAGCAGTAGTGAAATGGGATGCCTGTTGCTACCTTTCTGAGATCCATTCTCTATGCCAGTTCAGAGGGGTAGAAACAGCCATTTTGTTTCATGACCCTTCAGAGTGACTTAGATGGCAAAGGACCCCGCAGGGCAGAGAGAAGGGGATTAGGTCTGGCAGCCACCTCCATGGGGAAAACAGGCAAAGAGCAGATGGAAACACAGACAAACACACAGAGAAGCAGTACCCAAGGCAGTGCAGAGGTGGATACCTGGGGCCAGATGCGTTTGGGTTTCTCTTTCAGCTTACCCTGTTAAGAGCCCATGGAAAGGGTGGTGAGCAGGGTCTGTGTATAGGGAAGTGGGAGGGAAGGGTCAATGTGTCCCAAACCTTTGCTGCCTCCTTTCCTTTGGGCTCCCCAACCTATATTTTCCTGATCTTGTTCCCAGCCTCTATATACTCAAAACCTCCAATGCTGACTGGAGTCTCCAATTTCTCCAGAGTGTATTACAGCCTCTCTAGCCCTATGACCATGCAAGGACCCTCAAATCACAGAATCTCAGGAATGCTTTGTCCTTCTGGACCCTGAAGCTTTCATCCTTCATGCCCTTAGACATTTGGGCTTTTCCATCATTTCCACTAAAAGTGCTGGATCCAAAGCTAACAAGGGCTGTAACTTGAGGGCCAAATTCTGGTCCTTCCATGGTGGGACCACACAGGTAGCCCACCCCAAGACATAGACCAGTACACAAAGTCACCCAAACAGAACAGCCCGTTTCTTTCTTTCTGTCTCTCTCTCTCTTTTTTTTTTTTTTTTTTAAATTATAGTTGACTAAGCTCATTTTTAACCTAAACCCAAGCTCTGAAGGTCCCTGGTACCCACCAGGATACCCCAACCAGCATACAGTCTCCCTTACAATCCCTCATGCTAAGTTCCCAAGCTATGAGGGACTCCCTACTGACACTTAAGGTCAAATCCCCCAGCAGAGGATTCTTTGGATTGCTCCCAAATCCTCTCAGCATTATGACGAGGAAGCAAAGAAGGACATTAAGAACCTCCTAGGCAGGAAGAGGGAGCCAATTTGAGCCCAGATGAGAGCAGAGCAGTACCAGACTCACCTGCACATCCGGACATGGCCTCTTAATGGGGGGGGACTGGCTGGGAGAGTCGCTTGTGCCCATCTCTGCCTGCCCCAGGTGCTTGACTACAATGCAGCATCTCACTGGGAAGCCCCTAGAAGAAGGAAAAACGTGAAGCAGTAGGCTGGCTGGCTCAAAAGAGAATTTGGCAGGACCCACCCATGTCCATCTAGGATAGAAGGGACAAAGGGAATCTGATACTGGGGGAAAGCCCAGTTGACCGAGAGCAGTTGCCAACCAGCCAAACACACTTACTTCTCCCGACACTTCTCCAGGGCCTCGTCAGCCAGTTCCTTCAGGTTCACAAGCTTTTCCCCCCTGTAGAAGGCATCTTTGGGGAGCAATAGACATTCCAGGCCTTAGGAAGGCACCACACTCCTAGCCCCTTATCCCTAGTGAGCATAATGTTCATGGAGCCCTTCCTGAGGTAGGCCTCTTGACTCTGGCTCTTCCAATTGATTTGAGCTGACGGAGGGTCATGTGAGGTGGAATCAGGAGATAAGGGTAGGCAGTCCCCACCCTCTATGCTGAGCAGTCACAAATACCAACTAGCTAATTAGAGATCAAAACTTCAGGTGTGGAGGTTCTGGAAAAGGGGTGAGAGAATCAGTCACCTGTAGTGATAAGAAGACTGCAACTGGAATCCAGGATCCGTTCACATAGAGACTCTGCAGAGAAGCCTGCAAACTAGGGAAAAGAAGGAAGACTAAGGGAGAGGAGGACCTAGAAACTGAGTAAACAAGGAAAGGAGACACTTTAAAAACCTTCAGGATTTCTAAACCACGGTCCTAGAAGAAACTACATAACTGATATGGAAGAAACATTCTAAACTCCTTAGCCTGGTTCTTAAGATCCTTCATCATCCATGGCCAACAGACACATGAAACGATGCTCAGCATCCTTCCTCATCAGGGAAATACAAATCAAAACCACACTGAGATACCACCTCACACTGGTCAGAGTGGCTAAAATGAACAAATCAGGAGACTCTACATGCTGCCGAGGATGTGGAGAAATGGGCACCCTCCTACACTGTTGGTGGGAATGTAAACTGGTGCAGCCCCTCTGGGAAACAGTGTGGAGGTTCCTCAGGAAACTAACAATAGAACTCCCCTATGACCCAGCAATAGCACTGCTAGGAATTTGCCCAAGGGATACAGGGGTGCTGATGCATAGGAGCACATGTACCCCAATGTTCATAGCAGCACTCTCCACAATAGCCAAAACATGGAAAGAGCCTAAGTGTTCATCAACTGACGAATGGATCAAGAAGATGTGGTTTATCTATACCATGGAATACTACATGGCAATGAGAAAAAATGAAATCTGGCCATGTGTAGCAACAAGGATGGACCTTGAGGGTGTTATGCTGAGCGAAATAAGTCAGGCAGAGAAAGACAAATACCATATGATTGCATGTATAGGAGGATTAGGAGGAACTTAACGGAGGACCAAGGGGGAGAAGAAGGGGGG